GCGAAGTGTGCCAATCGTGGAAGTCGTAATCGACATCCACAAACCAAACAAGGCCGATCAGTTACTTTGAGAAGGGGCATGGTCAAGCGAGGTTGCCAGACCCGTGCATCCTTGGCCTAGAAGCTTTGAGCTCCGGTGTGATAGGGGCCAAGATTCTTTGCAGCTTATGTTCCCGTGCTCTTCTACTATCAAAGCCAAACCGAGCACTGAGCACCAGCCTTGCGTCGAACACGCTCATGTTTGGCATGTTTTTATTTATTTATTTCTTTTTTTTGCAAGGTGCCAATCAGAGCTCCAATGATACGGATGGTCAAGTGTGACCAGCAAGTCTGTCATTCCCAGGCCGGGTAAGCAAAAATAGTACGAATCCACGGAGAAGTATCTAAGCTCGTGCATACACGCCCAACCTGCTGAAAGACACCACGGGAAGCCCGCTACAGCGTTGAGCAGCTTTCGCACGCCCGTTTTGCGACTTGATATTCTCATAAGAAAAGATCTTGGAAGGTTCTGCTCACAGCTTCTTCCAAGAATGCAGAGAACCTTACTCGTCAAGGTCCGTTGATGCCCCTATCCCTGGCATGTTCCACAAAGGACAGGGCCCAAATAGATGACGGTCAAACCAGAAAGACGCACGACTTGATATCCTCATAAGAAAAGATCTTTAAGGTTCTGCTCACAGCTTTTTCCAAAAAGCCGAGACCCTTACTCGTCAGGGTCATTTGATGCCCCAATCCCTGGCATCTTCCACAAAGCACAGGGCCCAAATAGATGACGGTCAACCAGAAAGACGCACCTTATCCTGGAGCCCTTGGCTCGAATATAACCCCTCATGGCGTCAGCAGCCATCTGTAGTTCTCAAGAAAGGCGGTCGACGGTTGCGATGGCGGGGCTGGTCTCCGTTTCTGCCAAAATGGCAAAGGAGAAGAGATGCGGTATCTTTGCGTCTGCAACTTCTGGTGGCAGCATTTGACCGCGCATGCATCGAGGCACGCCGACTGGGAATGAATGAGCGCATTTGGTCGATTTATGCCACTTGTAATCTGGACTATCTTAAGGGAACAACGCAACACCCCGTGAACGAAAGTGCCCCCTTGTAGGGCCTGCGTTGTGGATTCACAAATACCATACGCACAAAGGACCCCCCCCGGCTGCAACAGAACCTGACTGAAGTGGAGTGGGCCGCTTGAATTCTCCAAACCTCTAAAGCTTCGCAAAGTGCTAACTTTGAAACAGGTGGTCTTACTTTCTGCATGGCGCCCATCCGTGGCAGCGCCACTATCATGGCGATGCAGAGTCCCAGATCCCGTGCGATCCCGGCTCTTACAACAGCAGGGGCTCTTGACTTGGACGAAAGGATTCCTGCAGAAAGAAGCAATCTTCGAATCTGGTGGCTTGGAAGCGACTATGATCTGGAAGTACACGGTTCGAGACGGTTTATTCCTGCAGGAGAAAGCGCCAAGCTGGCTCCGAGTAGGATCAGTTGCAGAATAATTGTCGATAGTTCAAGGTATTCTAACCGGAATCAGAAGATACTTCATCCGCATCTCGTGCCTATGTGTGCTATGCGGGTCATCAACATTTTGAAGGCAACCAAGGATGCCGACCTTTCACAACTGTAAATACACTCAAGATTTGACTAGCTTTTTTTGAATATAGCTGCTGGAGACCAAGGCGCGCAATAAGAAGTACTGGGGCCGTCAGCACTGACCAAAAAAAACTGCATAAAATCGCTGAGGTTGCGTCCGAGAAAGGGCTCGTGCCTCTGAAAGTAACCGGCAAGGATTGAAAACACTTCTCTTTGCCCATTCAACGAGCAAAGCCCTGTTGAAAATCAAGTCCAAGATTGAATACATGGTAACAAAATGATTTATGTTTCACAGCCAGACACATCCACCCAAAACATCCTCGACACAAAGAAACACCGAGCAGGGATAGAAAGAACATAGAACCTAGGGTGATAGATTCATTTCAGACCGAAAACCATTCGAGCAGGTATCAAGCGGAAACGCACGAGCTAAGAAGAAATTGAGCTCGTCGAAAGAACACGGGCTGCTACCTCTACTTCTTGAAGGGTTATAGTAGGTCTTGAAGTAGCTCTGAACCGGACGAGCTCAGAAGAGTTGATCTGGAAGGTCCGAAATTGGTCTGGAAGGAGGCTATCCGGCTGTCTATGATGGTTCGTTGGGGCATACATTACCTCCTGCACAGAAAGTCCTAAGTCAGTGCCATTACGCCTGTGGTGCCATACTATGCTGATGGTGGTAGACATTCAACTCCCCAACCCCCTTGCGAAAGCAGCTGCCTCTTAAGAGACGATAAAAGAAGTCCAATGAATGAGAAGCCTTGCATGCGCTCGTAGTTTTCAGAAGACACACGTGTTGCCTCCGATGGAGATTGCAACGGTTTCTGAAAGGAGAACCCAAACTCGCTTTTGTCTGCCAAGCTCCAGCATGCAAGAACAACGTTCCAGGTACGATGCACCTTTGTCTGATGCACACCATACTCTTCTCCTTGCTAGAGAGGAGAGGGAGGAAAGGGCGATCAGCATACTAACACAGAGTCCAGCTGAATTTCCTGGCACTCAACTCTCTGCCAATATCATTGGTCAACTCATTCTGTCCAAGCCTGCGGACCACAAATTCCAAAGTTTCAAACAGACTCCAAAATCAGGATTGTGTGCGGCTGCTGTGAAACCAACTACCAGATCAACGACAAGCAAGTTCCTACCTGGTCCCAGTCTCATCACTGACCGCTGGCCAGATTGACCTCAAGCAGCAACTGTTCAGAAGCGGCAGCTTCAAATGTGCACCACTAGCTCCAATGCTGGGAATACAAGCAACAAGAAAACCTTTGACCACACAGCAATACGGAGCTATCAAGTAGACAGGAATCATCTTTTCGAGCACAATCAACGTCACTGTTGTCTTGGCAAAGATCATCACAGTCACTGAGCAGCCCCTCAGACTTATACTCGATCAACTTGTGGGGTTGCAGAAGGTTCATTCTTATGGAGCTTGAACAGACACCTGTGCAAAAACAATAAAGCTGCCGAGCTAGCTGAAAAGAAGCCCTAGACTCAAAAGGCACAAACCATCGGGCTTTTTGTCATGCCCGGTAGCTGATACATGCACTGCCCTCAACTCATGATGATCGATCAACACCTCCTCAGTGATATTCGCAACGCAAGCATTGTTTGAGGGCAAAGAAAGGCTGGAAATCAATCGAAATGTAACCAGGATTCTCGAACTTTGAAAGCTTTTGATATCAAATATAGCAGAATCCTGGCATTCAAAGAATTAAGAGCATCACCTTTCAGCAAATCAATCTATACTTCTTTTCTGGAGCTTCCTCTCGTTGTACTCTCGTCACGGGCGCGTGAATACTCACCAGCTTCTCACTGCTGGCAGACCGTGCCGCAAAAAACTGCTCGTCCTCAATCCAGCACGGTTCTGATTGTCTGTGCAGCATAGTCCAGTACATATGCATCATGTGATGCACTTGAGGAGTTGCGTTAAACACAAAGAGCTCTAGAGAAACTGGAATGCTGCAACTTGCAAATGCGCTCAGCGCAAATGCTGGCCCAGTCCCCACTTTCAAAGTTTTATGCAAGAGCTGGCCGGGCCACTGCAAAACTACAGGGTTTGGTTCACAGAACATGGTTCTTACTAACCACCACTATTGCCCAGTTTCAACCGAAGCCGCGGCCGCCGGGCGCGAGGTTCACCTCGGGCACTGAGGCGGCCGGGCAGCCGGCCGCGCCCGGCCGCCACCTTGTTTCAAAACGTCGGCCCGCGGGACTGAGTCAAGAAACTGAGCAAACTGGCCCGCATAGAACTGGAGCAGTGCAGGCTCCCTGCAATATGATGATTTATGAAGCGTGTGTCCAAAGACGTGGTAATCGAACCGGCGCGGCCGGCCGAAATGTTGCAGATGCCATTGCTTGAATGGGGGCTTGAATGAGGTTCCGGCGGCGGATCACAGACGAAATAAATGGGAAATAAATCTAACGAGAGTCTTCTATAACGGTCACTTCGAAAATGACTCATGCATTAAACTCGATCAACAAGAACGCGAAGGGCTGATTCGCAGCTCTATTTGGACGTCCAAAGCCAGAGCTTGATTTGAAGGGTGATCAAATTAGACGGGGAAGATTCGAGATTCACGCTTTGACGAGGCGTTGGTAACAAAACCTATGCGCATAATGAAAAATGTGAATCGACCCTTGCTCGTGAAAGTTGGCCGTTATTTGGGGCGTCTCAAGTGAAGTGGTCACAACAGTTGTGCATTGACATGTGGTCTTATGAAGGCCTCAGGGGACTTTGATTGGGTAAGCATTGCTCTGCAGCACGGCCTGGTTGAAACTTTCATGCAACTGGTTGCAAGAATAGAATTGAAACACGTCATTGTTGCCCACTTCATTTCCTGGCACTTGGCTTCTCTACAAGCTGAACTGGTTTCTTAGGTTCTGGACGTCCACGGGAAAGACATTCATGTAACTCAAAATAAGATCCAACACGTACGGTTCCGTTACAAAGTATAGCAGCAAGCTTAATCAATTATTCTAAAGCTAGCTTTAACGTAGTTAAGACAATCGCCCAAGCTTGCAGACGTCGCGTGTCTACGGATCGCTCCTGCTACGGTCGACTACAGGCGGGCGACAGGCGGAAAGATTTAAAAATGTTTTTGCGGCGTTAGAAATACCTCTCCAAAGCAACTCAACTCAGTAATTGACGACGTAAGACTCTAGCTTGGCGGGCGCTTACAGTATTCGTTTACACGTGGCAACAGTTGCAGTTGCAGGCTGTACTAATACCTATCTTTCTGACCTATAATTGACCAAAACTAGACCAGATCCTCAGTTTCAATCACCTTGCATCAACCCCACGTGCACACAAGGAGGATTAGTTGTCTCCCCCTTGGGGGGAAAAGCTCGCAGAAAGGCGGAGGAGAAAAGGGGGAGACGCGTCTCCTCCCCTTTCTCCCCACATACGTGAAGATTTTCACAACGATTTCCTGCCCGCCTTCGCGCGGCACAAAGCCCGCTCCGCCGCACTGTGGTAATCCGCCTGTGTGAATAAGCACTCATACTTGTCGTGATACATCTCCGTCTCCTGGTTTTGGAGGTCGAAGTACGGCCACGCGGCCGCGGCCGCGGCCGCGCGCATCTGCGTGAGCTTAAATCCTGACGCGATCACGGTCGCGTTGCGGACGCCTTTGGCGCCGCGGCCGCAGCCGCACATGCGTCCGCAGGTCTCGTACGTGCGTACAAACGTCCGCATCGTTTCGATGGGGCGTTTCAGATGCAGCGCGAGCGTCATGCCTTCCTCGCACTGGGTGTCGTCATAGTCGGTGAGAATATCCTCAAAAATGGGCAGCCCGGTCTCCATCAGGTGCACCACGTTCAGACCCTGGTGAAAATACCAGGGCAGGTTTTAGTTGGATCGGCTTTTCACATCGCCCTGAACTTGGTAGAGTCACCGTGTTTCAGTCGGTGAGAATATCTTCGAAGATGGGCAGCCCGGTCTCCGTCAGCTGCACCACGTTGAGGGGAAGAGTTTACTTGCTGCAGGTCGGGTTTTCACATCAGCTCAAGTTGCGGATTGCAGCGAAGTTTCATCTTTTACATTAGCCTGAGATTTGGCACCTTTATCTCCCGCCGCCAGGTGCACTACGCTAGTCCTTGGAGAACGGACAACGTGGGTATAGATACAGGTGCTTTCAAACCAGCCCCCGGCCAATATTGAGCCAGGCTCCGCGTCGTTAGAATATTGTCCGGAAACCTCGTCCATTTCAACTAGGTGAACCATGATTCTGCCCTTGTGAAGACTTTGTGGAAAGGGGGCCTGGCCCTCATGACCGCTTAATATTGCGTCTCCATGGAGCATACCTCAACGATGGGGAGCCACGTCTTCGCAACTACTTCGGTAAACATGAGCCGTTGCCAGTTGTCAGACCAAATCAGAAAAACGGCACAAAGTTGGAACGGAAAAATGAAGCTATTTGGGTCAGGATGGGTCCGATCGGTGCGGCCTGTCCGACGGCTGGCTCAGGCGTCGAGAGAACAGACTGTTCCGGCCACGAGTTCTTACTTTGTGTTCGGAAAAGCGAAGCGTTCTTACCGAAGGACGACAAGCGAAAGGAATATCGGCACGACGAGACGAAGTACCAGGGTGTAAAGCTTTAACATCCATTAAAAAGTCAGGCCTCACGACGGCTCCTTGTCTCAAACTGAGAAACGCTGAGCTTCAGAAGATTCGGCTCCGGTCAGTTCGAGGCATCCAGTCCCACTGCCGCACGCGCGCGGACTCCTTACCTGGCGCCCCGTGGCTTCGTACACGTGGTCGCTTGAGAGGTGGACACCCGTGCACACGTCCTCTAGCCCCGCGCAGTCCAGCTTGTTCTCCCAGCGCGCGAGCGCGCGCACCAGATCGTGCGAGAGCGCGAACCCGTGGCCGCGGCCGAAGAGCGGGTAGGGCACGCCGGCCGGCCAAAAGTCGCTGTACCTGTGACCAGAAATTTGCAAACATAAGAGTTTTTGGCCCCGAACTATGGCTGCTTATGGGCTGGTTAGAGTTCGGTCACTTTTCCAACAACCAGACTGGGGCGGTAACCAGCCTGGAACCAAGGTTGCGGCCTGGTTAATTGTCCAAAGCCTGGATAACGGGTCTGGTAAAAGCCTGGTTAGCGACAAGAATTCCCTGCGAAAGCGCGTTGAATCTGGCAATCAACCTGACGTTCCTGCTGGAACATGGCATTCTGCTGAAGGAACTCTTTGATTACTTTCCTCGAGTAGTCGGATGACGGATAGACTGGGGAGTTAATAGTTGAACCGCTGTCTGATCGGTGTTCTGGGAAGGGAGAAGGATCGAAGCACCCGAGCTGATGATGTGACTTCCTTCGGGATTGAAAGAAGGCAACAGAGGCCCACAGCAGATCCAAGCGTTCTATCTATGCATATGCATGAGGTCCCACATCATATATATATGCCCAGAGAAGAGAAGGGCGGACCGGCATATTTGTGATATAGAATTTCTGCCCCTTGGAAAATCCTTGGCACGTACCATTTTGCCCACTCGCCCGACCGTTCCTTGATGGGCATCTTCATGAAGCCCAGGTTCCCCCAGTAAACGCGCGGCAGATCTCGTACCTGTGGAGAAGCAGTTTGCAGCGCGTTAACAGTGCGCATATTGCTTGCTCTAAGTCTCAAGCAGCGCAAAACTTGATCCAAAGCAGTGGTTGGGCCAGATTCTTCCGGAAAGCAAACAGCCGTGGTTTCACTCGTGAAGCCTCATGACCAGTTGAGCGTCAGATATCAGAATGGCTCTATGCGGTGCGACCCACGTGACCCCAGGCTTTCGACGCTTACAAGACGACGCTACTTTCATAGCATCTTTGCAGCGGTGGCTAACGTTCGCTCAATCGTTTCGCGCGAAAATTCTGGGCGAGACTTTTGAATTGCGGAAACAAGACCGTATAACCCCACAGAAAAAGCCTTCCGGCTCGAAATTTGGATCGTAAGCCCACATGTAGTTTCTGCAGATTCCATTGAACCACGAAACACCTCAACGTGGAAGCCTTGACGGAGACTTGCCTGGTAGAGCGCCGAAACGAGGCGGTCCACGCGTACAAAGATGTCGTCATCCGTCTTAAATGCGAACTTGAAGCTGACGTTCTCCGCGGCCCAGCGGTGGAAGGCCGCCGTCTTTCGGCTGAGCGCATCGTAACTCTCTTCGATGGCCAGATCCTGTAGACATGACACAATCATTTGGGCCGGGTTCTTGGAAACACATTTGCTCTGCGTTTCCTGTTTGTTATCGATTGCGGCTAATCCCGTGCAGCTTGTCAATTGGAGTTGCAGACCGGCTTATGCGTCCGAGTCAGCACTTTTACGCAAGTAACTCTACTTCGTTTGTTCGTTGCGAGACGACACTCTTCTAATCGACTCAAATAGCTGGGAAGCTAGATGTCGAAACGACTCACATAGCTGGGAAGCAAGATGTCAAAACGAGCCAAGATTTAACCACCTCCGCTGAGATTTGGGATTGGCTGAAGAGCTCTTTGGCAAATCATTCTAAGTCAAGGTGTTTCGACGTGGTACACGAATGGGATGCAGGGATTAGCTGCGGGGTGATTTGTACGACGTCGATCAGTCACGGTTTCCAAAAAGCTCGCGAGCTACCGGCACGAGAAACTTCCTCAACAACAGCAGATCAAATAAGAAATCTGAGCAGTTGACGAAAGCCCCTCAAAATCCACGAATCTCCGTGGAAGGATCAGATAGAGAACCCACAGACGTGCCTTTCTGAACGTACCTGAACGATATCTCCGTACTCCTCCATTTCGCGGGCGACCATCTCCATGACGGTGCCGTTCTTGTGTCGCCCCACGATGAAGCGCACCATGACTGGGCACCGCGGCACGAGCTCGCCGAAGCGCGCCCACGTGTCGCGCGCGTTCTGGCGCTCGGCGGCCGCGTGCGCGGCGGACGCAACGCCGATCACCAGGAAATAATCGAACCCGTCGCAGGAGCAGTCCACATCGACGGGCGGCGCGACCAAGTGCGCGAGCGCGTCGGCCTTCGCGGCCGCGACCCTCGGGTTGAAGTAGTCAACGGGCCCAGAAAAGGGGTTAACGGCGCCGGAAAACGGGTTAACGACCGGGGAGGAAGTAAGGTGCGCGCCGCCGGCAAAGATCAAAGCCAACCCGGTGTAAATAAGCCCCACGAGAAGAAAGGTCCGTACGGAAAAACCGCCCTTGAAACTGCCCCACCGGTTCTTGAACAGGATTCCCAACCAAAGCTTCTTTGCGCCCATCAGAAGATGCGAGCGCGCGCTCGCGGACGGCTCAAGCCGCTTTCGAGGAGACGGGATTCTTTGCAGGGTTTCAGCGGGGTTTAGGGCGACGAACAAGGCGACGCGCAGCAGGAACGCCGCGGCCGCGGCCGGCCAGATGAACCAGCCTGGCGGGCTGAAATCCGAGAGCCTGCCACGTGGCGTTCTCATCCCGTTTCTGCATTCTAAAGCACCGGACGGCGGAACTTTGGTGGATAGGGGTTTGATCTCAGGCGCTTTTTGGAGCATCGCTCGGCGCGGCTGGTTGCCCGTAGGGTTTACAGTTTGGAGGTTCGCGCGCGCGCTTGCGACTGCGGCTGTGAGTCTCTGCGCGATTGATGCTTGGGCGTCGGCGTTCATAAGGCAGGAAGCGACTTCAAGGGATGCTTCCAGACGATCCGTCCAGGCCTGAGGAGAGGAATGGAAAGGATCGATGGTCTCATCCATGGAAGTGGAGGTGTTGCGGAAACAAAAGTCAGCGAAGCTGCCAAGTCTGCCTCAGACCATCTCGAATTAAGTGAACTCAGCATAAAACCGGTTGCTGGTCAGATTGCGAAGAGGTGTTCTCAGATACTATCGGATGTGCACATCTGGATCAAGCGCGCGTATCAACAAGGTAAGCATGTGCGAAAAGAGAGGGACTCAAAGTAACTTCGCGTGAGAATTTTGGAACAGATGTCAACTTTCTAGACTGATTTGGCATGGGCCACTCAGATCTTTCAACGCCGCTAAGTTTACGAACAAAATACTTTCTCTCTACAGAAGGTCGGAAGCAATACTGCGTTAAAGTAATGTTTCTTGGTCACGCGCTTGACAGAAGTTCAAGATCTCATAGGACAGAGAGAGAATCTGCAGAAACTTCTCATGAGAAACTCGTGGGAATCAATCGAGCCCACCAAAACGTCATCTTTGGATAGCTGTCTGACAAGCGAGACGTCAGCATAAGGATTCTTTTACTCTCACAAATCTCTAGTCCATCTGTAAGCTAGGCCTGTTTTGTGCACTTGAGTTCCTCACCGTCTCGTTTGTGTAGGCTTCAATCAGTGACCTCGTATACTCGTCCGCCGTCGCCCCCACGAAGAACACGTCATCCGGCGTCATCCTCTTCCCGCAGAACTCCCTTTCAGGCACCACCTCCCACCCACCATCCCCGGTCGCTTTTCGCGGGAAATACCCGCCGAGAGCAGCCCGGGTTGAGACGACCGGGAGGCCGATGCTTAACCCAAAAAACGCTTTGGTATTGACACCTGTACCGGCCTGAACTGGCGCGAGCATTACGCGCTGCGTTTGGAGAAGCGCGACGGCTTCCGGGCCCTCCGGAGAGATCTGGAGTTCGAGGGGGCCGATGCCGCGGCTCAGCTTGATTGCCTGTAAAGGAATTACGGCTTCGAATTTCAGATTCGTGAAGGCCAAGTCACCTAAAGTTAGTGATCTCAGGGCGACTCTAGATATGCGCTAGACGGGGTTTGACTAGAGTTGATCGAGTTGAGGTCAGTCTTCGTTATGTATGAGAAGGCTTCAACCCTCGCTTGGCTTCTTAACTAGGAAATCAAACGAAGAGCGGCTTGTCTCGCACCCTTTCAACAAAGATTCTGCGCGGCCATGATATAATTTCATTATTTTCTCCCTATTACAAAGTTAAGTCGCAACGTGATACATACGATCCAACAGACAACCCGCTGACGCCGAAAAGGTAATGTGAAATCATTTCCCTCGGGTTGCATTTTCAACAAAAAGAACGTCGAAAACATCCTCACTGTGCCAATTTATTCTCATACGTCTGAATACCTGCTGCCGCTCACCTGTTCAAGCTGAGCCAGCAACGGAGTGAAGACAGCCGACCGGAATCCGCTGCCAACAAGCGTGAGCGGAACGCGCTCGTTCTTTGCGTCGAAGTGCTCTTGGAGCGCGGGAAGGACGTTCCAGATGAACCACTGCAGTAAGAGCAAGCCTGAGACTCAGTCTGGAGCGTCAGATCGTACACGTGGCAGCTGCAACTCGTGTGTTTAAGTGAACGGCCAGCGAAAGTTCCGCCAGGGTCTCCGCATTTTGAGCAACAGGCTTTCTAAGCGACCAACGAAGCGCATCCTCGGTTTCTTGGTCGCCTGGATGAGCCTGTTTCTTCATTTCAACAGAAATGTGCTCTAGACCCTGTTCACAAATCACCTGCTTTGCACCCGCACCCACCCCAAAACCTCAAAACTAACCCCACCCGTCCGAGGCTGGTCAGATTACTCGGCAAAAGCCTGCTTTTGAAGAATTGAAGCTTCGTCATTTGCAACACACACCTGAAGCGCGGTCGCAGTCGTCGGGTTGTGGAAGTCGCCCATGAGCGCCATCCCGCGCCGCGCCCCAAACCCTGGCAACTCCGCGGCCGCGGGTACGCGCGCGCGCGTCGTGTTGGTGCTCCACGTCCACGCAAAGCACTGCGCGCGCGTACGCACGTGCGCGCAGACCAGCTGCGCGTCCTCCTCGCTGACGGTGACCACGACGTCTGCGCGCGCGTACGTGCGCGCCTCGCGCGCCGCGACGTCGGGGTCCGGGGAGAAGGGCAGGTGGGGATACTTTTGGAAGTCGGCAGAGAGGCGCGCAGCGCGTGCGCCGTGCGCGTCGTCGGTCAGGACGACGAGCGCGGTTTGGGGCGCGGTTTGCGCGATGGTGTCCACGTGGCGCTCGAAGAGGTTGGGTGAGAACCAATACCAGGGCTGTGAAACAAGAATGGGAGGAATTTTTCTTTGTGTTTGCAGTGCATGTACTTTTGGGGGCTCGATAGCTTTATCATTTCATCCTTCCCTTTCCGCCATGACGGATTCGGCTCTTTTCTCTTTGCTTCAAGATTTTGGGTTTACGTTAGGCACATTGGATAGCATCTAGGTTAGTTTGATTGCAGGAGAACTTAGTGTGAAGCCTCACTTCGTGAAGCCACTTATTTGAGTCATAAGGTACAGCGGACGCCCAAACGCTGAATGAAATGCCGGCAAAATTAATGTGAGTGCTGAAGCGCATTTTACAATGCGGCCGTTATGGCCAGTGCCTGCCCTACTCAAACGTGGATCAGTCGTTAGAGACACGTCATCATTCACTCTGGCCAAGCTACGGCGCAGTAAAGAAAGTTGCGAATTGGCTATAGATTGACACGTTAGTGGACACCGGAATGGGTGCGATCTGCATTTAGGTTGACAGGATTTTACGTACTGTCAATCTCCAACAAAAACGTATTCCCGACGTCGCGGATCCGGACGTTTCAGCAACCTGGTCACCTGGGCTGAACTTGCGGTGGGCACTACAACCTGGTTTATATGGAGCCATATGGAATAAACCATCACTACTTTGGCTTATGAATGGTTTCCGGTTCCGCTTTCTCTCGAGTGTTCCGTTTTGATGGGGCCGCCAGCAGGGGACAAGCTCACCATCATGATGACGGCGTCAAAGCCCGCGCGCGCGTGCTCGCGCTGCTGCAGCAGCTGGAAGAGCCGCGGCGCGCCGCCGCACATCCACAGCGCCCCGGTCTCTTCCAGATGCTGCTGACGTGTCGCGTCGGGGCACTTGACGTCATCGCTTGTTTCCAGGAAGTGAACAACCTGAGGACGGAAACTCGAGTCTCTGACGCTTCTACTCCTTCGCAAACAAGGATTCTCTGCTGTGTCCTGGTTCCTCAGTTCTGGGTTTTGTTACTAAACATGCACTTTCCCTTCAAATTGTAACGCGCCAGAAACAAGAGAACGACTTCTCCCACCACTTGAAAGTATTAAAGGGACCTCAAGCAGAGAACCTCCGAAGTCGAGGAATCTCTCAAGCAGGATCGAGGCCCTCTACTTACGGGGCGTGTAAGTGAAAGAGCAACAGACCCTGAAGATGTACGGTGTGAAAAGGCACATGTTAGTAACAGTATTGCCAAATAGCGTTTTCTCACCTCGTGCCCCGGTGCTGTCAGCGAGCGCATCAGGTCCTGGATGCGGAGGATGTACGGTGTGAATGGGCTCGCCAGGTTGTCGGTGAGGACAAGGTAGCGGCCGCGAGGAGGCGCGACGGAGGGGGTTGTTCTGCCGGTCTGTAGAAACCGACAAGGATTGCGTTAGTGTTATTGAACTGAATTATCTCCCATTTTTTCAGCTTCGAACAGGAGCACGGGAAAGATTCAAAGCTCTGAACTGCTGGAGGGTGTCGTTCTCCGGTCTCTGTACAAGAAAGACAAGGACTTGATGCATCACATTCATCATGCTGAAACCGGTGGAGATTTTCCATCCATCACAAAGGCACGGAAGATTTCGAGCTTCTATAGCGTCTGAACACTTCTTGTCTTTCGCAAACCACTGCTTTGAAGCACTACTGATCCCTGTCCAGACTTAACCCTTCAGCCCCGGCTCAAGGCTTGCGGTGTTCAACCAAGTTCAGAAAAGCGTCAGCCCTCACCAATTCATCAGCTCTGCCACGTATCGTCTTCGTGATCCTTACGGACACCAAAGACGTCTCCGGGACTTCCACGTGTACGGCTCCGATTGCGGCGTCCACATCGAGGCCCTGTACGAGCGGTCTCTGCCACCTTTCCAAGGCGCCGTCTGCGCTTTTGGCGGGACGCAGTGCGAATGACGAGGCCTCCCATCCAAATTTTCCCGGCAACTCTCCTTCTGCGGTTGTAAAGATGTCGTTCAGCTGCAGCTTGACACGCGTCCTCCCACCGTGGTTGACAAGAACGACGGACGCTTCTTTTTTGGTCCTGGAAGGTACATTACCGGATTGAGTGGGATGGTAAAGCGTATGATGCGATGGACTGACTGTTTAGAGTTGAAAGGACAAACAAAAACATTGGAGAGGTGTATCACTTCTCGTCGTAGTTCTCGTCTAGAATGTACTCTTCAGATTGACGGATCCCGTACGCTGCGGAGAGAAAGGAAACGCTTTGTACCGACAGAAAGAGATTTGTTTGCAACGTATAGATGGGACGTAACAAGATCCGGCAGAATTATTTGGTTTAACAAAAGAAAGGAAATACTGGGTCTTTCTAAGCAAGTACAGTGAGCGACAGTGGACCCCAAAGAGGGCACGAAGTCGAATCGTACGGCGGTACCATTTCCAGTGGTCATGAAAGAACGAAGAAATCTGGTACCTTTGATGATCGCCAGACCAAGCTAAACGGTAAGTGCGTGCCGAGAACGATGAAAGTCGTTACAGTCGCTCCAGATCAGAAAGTGCGACTGAAATGGGCAGCTACTTCGCAATTCAATTGGACTTGCGATGTTCTTATCATGCACCCGTTAAGGTCGTGCGTTACAAACCCTCTGGAAAATATCCCCTTGACTTCAGCAGAATCAGAGTAATAGCTCACCGGTCGATTGCGAAGTACGCGCTGAGTAGCGGAACGGAGGTGGTAGCGCGGAGCTTCACCCCACCGGAAGCGGAAAGCGCGTTCGAAACAAGGGCGACCGCTTCGCCCACCAGCGTGAGCGCGTTGGTCGCCGCGAAGGCGGAGCTCAGCGGGTCGTTGTCGTTGAACCATTTGGTCATGGAGAACTGCAAGGAAAGGGCGCGCGCGCGCATTTCTTGGGTTACGATCCGATTATTTGGTACTCAGGGAATGCTACTTAATTATTAACCTTCCTCTTAGGGGAAAAGATTGTGTCAAATTGAATTCTGCAGAGTCTCTCTTCACCTCTACGGTCAAAAGGATCCTAACGTCGCGCTCACGCGCGCGAGAGTTGCGGGGCTGAAGCCGAGATGGCAACGGGCTTGTTAGAAAGGCCTCAGCAATGAGCTGTCAGACGTAAGGCACCGGTGACTGATTACAGAAAAAACTCCGTACTTCACGGTCAAGGTACATACTTGTAAGAATCGAACGCCCGGCGTGGCCGCGTGGCGCAGGAGCTCGTCCGAAAACGCGAGCGCGCGCCGGACGGGGTCGGCGTCCGCCCACGTGTCTCCGGCCGCGGAGAGTGACGTCACAGCGAACCAGAGCGGCACGCCACGGTCGGCGCTGGAGAGATATGACGACATTTTATTTGAGGGTGCAGGGTTTGAAGAGATTTCGAGATGTTCTGCGAGCGATGGATGCTTTCTGTACGCTCCTTGCTAGCCTTGTGCGAGCTGGAGCATGACGTCGCTCTAGTGAAACTTCTCCGGAAGTCTATCCTTGAACTTGTGCGACTTGCAAGCTTTTCGGTTTCAAACTGAGCCGGAATCACGCCCGTTGAACGGTCCGGTATCTATCGGTTCCGGAGCGCGACTTAGTTTTTTCTCTGTGAGAGGCGATTATGTGCCACATTTCAAGAGTAGAGGCTCTTGCCAGCCCAAAACTCCATTTTGAATAGTCCGCTCGATCAAAACGGAGGACTCAACGGCTTTATCCCGCTTGTAAGAAATGTTCTGCGCACGACATATGCGCCAAACGGACGAACGAGAGACGGCATCCGAATACATTCCGCTCTCAACTTCACGTTTCTTGGAATTTAAGCCAGCAAACAGCGTTTTCAGCAAGCGACATTGGGATGAAGCGATTGCTCAATTGACCAGCGAAGCGGGTATGCTTCCAGAGTCGAATTTCACCGTCTGAGATAGCAGATTGGACGGGGCATATTTATAGGGCATATTTATAGGGCATATTTATAGGGCGGACTAAGGTCCTTTTGGCCTGAAAGTTAGAACGGCTTACGAATGTTTGCGTAGGACCTGACGTAGTGCCTCGAACGGCGGCGGCGCTTGGTTCGACGATGCGAGGTAGTCTGCATAGCTGAGGAAGTCTGCAGAAAAAAGGTCTTGCGGAACCTCTTTAATGAGTGGGCAGGGGTTTTCGAGATGGGTTTTTCATGGGCTGAGGCTACGGACTAGGATCGTCCCCAGCGCCGTTGCAAGTGAGCACTACAAACTAGATCGCCATGACTGTACTACACTCATACCAGCAGCGAGGCCTACCTAGAAAGATCTTGCTCTGCAAAGTCTCAGCATTTGAAGCGTTTTTTGGGTTTTCTTCTGTTCGGGATTGTAGCTTTGGATCTACGAAGCCTTCTGATCGCTTGTCGGTCAGCTCATGCGTGATAGTTGAATCCTCTTCCCCATCTGCTTTCAAACCTTTCCCAGCCGATTTCTGTACTTCGAATCCAGTATACTTCCCCCGAGATTCGAACCTACGCCTCACCGCATGCATTCCTTAAGCAGCACCTTTACCGTCCCCGTTATCGTAAACATAAAGAGATTGAAACTCCTCGAAACGTGCACACTTGATCATCGAAAGTCAGGGCTGCACAGGAAGAGAGTCAGCACCAACCAAGCTGGATTTGGGGTTTGGTAAGTTTCCCCCATGTAGCTACCAGGAAAACGTTCAAAATGTCCGGTTCGAGGCCCTTGAACCAATCCTGGTTAATGACAAAAGGTTCCTGTGCTAAAACAGTCAAACGCACCTCTCAAGGGCGACGCACTGACGCTGATCCAGTCGACGTGGGCGCCCACTCGGTTCAGTACGTCGTCCAGCCATTCCGGATCGTCGCCCGAAACCCCGATCTTGATGCCCGGGTTAACAGCCTTCATGGCGACACTATACCGGAAAAGCCAGTGAGCGAAGTCGCCGCTCGAAAGCCGCTCGTTTGGCTGGTTCCCAACCTCCCACAGGGTGACGTTGTATTTGTCTTTGCAGTAGGTGACCTGGTGGCAGAGACGGTACGTACCGGTCAGCACGAAGGAAAGCAGAAAGTGCGAAACCGACGCCTTGAAAGAGACGGCCGAACCACGAAATACCACTGAGCTTTTCGTTTGATGGGCGAAAGTGGAATGCACAGTGTTTCGAGCCCTGAGCAAATTTGCAGCGCAAATCTGCAGCGCTGAGAGAATCTGCCGTGCAAAAGTGCAGCGTTGAGCCTTGTGTTCTGTTCCCAGACTTGGAGAAGCTTCTTTCGGGTTCAGAAGGGAGGATCGCGTTTAGCCACTTTTGAGGGTTACTGCCTCATCCAACTTCGTCTGTGCTTCGCGGGCTTCCACTTCGTTTCTGTTCGAAAAGCTTTTCAATAATCAAAGTTGAGCCGATGAGTAGGAGTTGAGTTAATCCAAACCACTCACCCATGCTACCGACGTCTCCAAAAGCTCCGCCGCTCCGACGCTCCGCGTCCGAACGTGGTCGTCGTCGTTGAACTCCGACGCTCCGTCCAGCGGAACCACCAGGTTAACAGCGGAACCCGCCTGGCTTGCTGACGTCATGAAGTCGTCAAAACCAAGGGTTTGGGGGTGTAACTCGAGGGGGAAGTCGATTTGGCGCGGGTCGCAGCCGAGCCAAGTGTATGACATGTTGCCTTCGGTTGGGTCATCTGGAGATTCAAAGAGCGGGGTAAGGAGGAGTCCGAGCAGAGATTAGGCGGGCGCAAATGCTTCATTGGAGCCCGATCGTTTTGAGACGCGCCTCACGTATTCCGATTTGCGCAGATTGAGCGAAAGTAACGAGTCATTGATGCTCGAAGGGGCGCACCTCAAAAGAGTGTGTGCAATGGGACAAAACATTTGCGCTCTGGAAGCACTCTGTTGAGCAGCGCTCTCTTGAGCCACTTTCAGTGCGATCTTGAAACAAAGAACGGTCCTACAAAATCCAGCGAAGAGGAGAGTGCTTGCTGCTGACAGAAAACATCTAGCAGGGACAAAAACACTTAGCAGGAAAGAGGAAGCGAAGGTTACCCCAGCACGGAACTTCCTCAGGCCCGACTCGTGCCATCCTAGGATCGGATTTTGCGAAGGGGGGTACCGACCACATGTACGAGTCCGCCATGTCACCCCCCGGGTAGCGAACGATGCCAGCTCCGAGCTCCTGAAAGATTGGGGGGGGGGGGTAATGTTGTTATCTGGATTACAATGAAAAGCGTAACGATTGTCGAGATCTGGCTTTCCCTGCTCTCCAAGGGTCTGATCTCGAGCGGTCTCTCAGGCGACAAAGGAGGACTGAAACTGTTGCTAAATCTACCGTTCACGAAAAGAAGTTACTGAGTCCAAACGGCGTTTTGCACGTCAGAATCTTCCAAAATCTATGCATGGACTTGAGCTGTCGACCTAGCATCTTCAAGACTTGCAAAATCTGTCAGTCGTGAATCCGTCGAGCACGGTCTAGCAGCTATCCAACGGCCATCACTTTTTGGACGTTCGTGTCTTTACGGCCGGGTCTTTTTCTGACTCGTTTTCCCACTACTATATGGAGTTGGATTTTCTCCACAGGTAAGGAACTCGCTCCTTTGGACACTTTTGAGTCGTTGACTTTCATTGGAGTTCCTTTACAACTTGCCGGGTTTGGCCGATAACCATCTTCGGTTAGTGGTGACCCACCCGCAGCGCCGCCCCATAGCTCTGCACCGGCCACTCCGTGCGCCTCCGGTCGTTCATCATGTTGGCGTTCACACCAACGAACGGCACGATGACGTCAGCCGCAACGTCATCTTCCTGGGTCCAGCCTGGGTCGGAACGGGCAACACGGATGACCGCCTCCTCGATCCCTTCTGTTGTTTGCGCGGGCGCAAGTGTGACGTCAGCGGACAGGGGGATCCCCCGGGCCGCCGTCCCCACTAAAGACAACATCAGCACGAGGGCGGCAAGGGCGGCGCGGGCGAGCGAGCGGTGCGTGCCTCGGGAAACCTTTTCCGGGCGCGTAAGTTGGGGGTAGGTCATACCGGGACAATGACTGGGTTGAGGTGTGTCAATCGCGCAGTGCTCTTGGCGTGGTTGAAGAAGGCTGAAAAGAGAGAGAAGAAAACGTTCAGCACAGACACTCGGTGCCTGTCGTTTTGAGCGTACGTGTAACCCCGTTTCTGTAATTCTTATCGAGATCAAAAGGACTCTTGCGTTCTGTTCCAGTTGATGAGGAGTTATAGCCACTGTTGGGCAGCAGAAGAAGGCTGAGGTTTTCTGCTGCTTAGCAGGTTGCAATAAGTAGCCAATCTTGGGTGGTCCGGAAGCAATTAAAGGTGCCAGCTGACGACCTCGGAACAGGTCTGTGACTTGCATGTGTCCAGACAACGAAGTTATCTTCAGGCTTAAAGAAAGCACAGCACTAATTTATCGTGAGCACCCGGACCAAGCTTGAGCACTCGAGACAAAGCAGCCTTGAGAGGAAAACATAGACCACCAGTGATCCATGTCGGTTCGAACAACAAACAGATAACTGCTGACCGGTGACAAAAGCAATCCCCTTTACTTATCGAGATGATCATCCAACCAAAGGTGTTATGAAGAACGAGATTTCAGCGAAGGTTTAAGTGATGAAGGCTTAAGCTGTTTCACGAGTTGGGTATGCGCTAGTGTGCTTGGAAGCGCTTCTTTGCAGAAAGAAAGCCCACCACTACCCAACCACTGTGAACGTGCTCCATGTTAAATACGTGAGTGAGTGCAAAGCTGCCATTAAAAGCTTGAACCCAGCAGAATCAAGGCCAGCCCCTACTGACTCCTCTGAAATTGCATCTGCATGACAGTGATATCCCTCTGGCAGCTTCCGGAAGGTGACAGTCTGAAAGCTATTTCAAAGTTCAAAAAGCTCGTAATGAAACCTAGGCAATGGTTGTATACTCAAGGCTTTTAGCTGATTGCTTGATCCTGCGAGAAAGGGCCGTTGCTCAACCTGTGAACTACCAGTGATTGATACATGCAGATGAAGCCACCACAGTAGGCTAGCCCACCACATCATAAGCACACCGGAACGTAGTTAAATCTCAGAGTCTCATGGACCCAATGAGCTTAGATCCAGGACCAGCATATGAGAGCAGAGCAGGATCTCCCAGGGTGAACAGAGCTCCAACTTTTGGGACCCTCATAGTGGCAGAAGGGCCTGAAAGGACAGAAGAGACGTGCACTCATCATTCCAACTCAAGTGACAAGGACTCACCGGCAGCTCTTCGGATTGAGCACGGAAAAGTGCGCGCCTTGATATGGAGGTGTGACCACTCCACAACCATTCAACCAGAATCCTGCCCACTTCAGCTTCCCCAGAGAACGTAACTTCAGCAGAGTGTAAGGCGTGAGCTAGGTGCGGAGGCAATAAAAAAGTGCATTTAAGCTGTTGCCGCTACAGATCTAGTTTGATGCTTCCAGCTGCGCCAAGCAAGCTGTGAGTGCGCTGCGCCGCTGTTCTGAGCTTGTCTCTTTGGCAGCTGGTCTGTTAGCAGCTGGCTGACCCTTGCAAAGACAAGTTTCCGCTTCAGACGATGAGAGCTGTTAGTCCTGAACTCAGCCACTGCAATGAAGATAGTGAAGCGGACAAGCTGCTGGTTTGCTCGGATCATCCCGATTGATCAGGAACGAACTCGGAGTTCCCAGCATATGGTCAGTGGCCTGAGCTGTACCTTATGGAATCTGACGAAGGCTTGCATCAGGCCGGTGCGGGCCATTTGTAAACGTCATTGGGTAAGCAGCTTATGCGAGTGCCAAAGGTTACCAAGGCTTTCAGGACTGGGTCTGCACAATACTGACACAGATTTCGCAGAGCTTACAGTCTACTGTTTGCCAGCTGGAACAGTGGCTGATTTGCATGGGCTGCTGGGTCGCGGCAGCTCAAGTACACTCGTATCAGGTGTGCCTGCCTACCGTGCCGGCCTTTATTGAGCGCCGCAACGTTCGCTTGAAAGCTCGCATTCTGAGCTTTCATTATTATTTATTACTCAGATTGAGGAGGGTCATGACCGCCTTCAATGATTGACAATATGTGAGTGTGTTGAGATGATTTCGATGATTTCGTGTACGGTAGACACCGAGTCCTTCAGGAATCAGCAACTCCAAAAATGGATCTGAAGGATGTACATGTCTTAGCGAATGTCGTACATAACCATAGCCTCCAAAAATGTAACAATTTAGCGCGCCTATGGATTTGAAGTAGCAGAGGGGGAAGTTGAAAGGCTATAAGATTGAGAGCACATGCAACAGTACGCCTATTACTGATCATCCTGAGCGCTTATGTCAGCCCGCATGCAGGAGCTAACGTATAAGAGACTAGGATACTGAAGCAGCTTGTGATAATGAAACGCGCTCGAAAAGGGACAGTAATACGTATTGAATTAAACTGAACTCTTATCGGCAGATTCAGCTGCTTGAACAGTGCGGGGCTCCCAGATAGGGCCCGCGACATGCGCGGAATGGTAGCAATCAGTTATCAGGGGTATAGCTCAGCTGCGGGCTGGATCGGAGCCCGGCATACCCAGTCATGTGTGTGCAGAATGTTTTGGCAAACGAGTACCTATCCGTACGTACTTGTCATACCGGTACAACGATACCCAGTACTTTTGGTACGTTATACCGTAGTTGTGTACTCCAGTCTGTAGCAATGTACACTTTGTACGGTACCTAACGTACTGACCTACTATAATCGTTCGGCCAGGCTACCGGTTCGAACGTCGGACTCCGATATACGGTAGATCTCCCGTGTGCCCAGGCCTGTTACAACAACTGGGCACCCGGGAGACTGGTGGGTTTGGCTGGGTGGCTAGGGTGGGTCACAGGCGCGGGTGCGGGGCGCGTAAAAAGCCGGGTTACGGATCTTGGTTTTTGAATACCCGGGTCCCGGACAGCTCGCATCCAAGGTCACATCTTGACGGTTATGAGGGCCGTAGAAGTTCGTAACGTACAGTTCGGAGTCTGTACGTGGTACCTTTATGACTATTTTACAGGCGAACCTGCCCCGGTGCCGGCCGCCACGAGGCGCCGACTCGTGCGCGGTACCGTACCGGGTATTTGCCGACCTGGCTCGAGATACGGAATTTTTGAATTCCCGCGTCGATCGGATTGGGCTCCAAGCCTCCAATCTGGCTCCAAAATATGCCATCTCGGCCCTCCGTTATATGACTCTCCCAGACAGCCGCCCCGGCCCTCTGCCGTTCATCCCCCGGGTATCCTTGTGAGAGAGCTTCAAGAATCAAGAGCCGGGTGCTGCCGGGTATTCATAAACCTGTCTTCCAGCAAGTTCGTGATAAATTAAAGCTTGAGTCCGAGAATGGCAGTCCCTAGAAAACCTTCAGAAAACGATACCGGTACTTTGTGCCGGGAGGAAGCTCCGACTGTAGCTGGAAAGGGGTCCCGGTTCCCCTAACTCATCCAGGTTCAATCCTCGGGGTAAGCCACCGGGGGAGATGGAGCGAGCTCTCAGCTGGGACTTGCATGAGAGTCACTCCAGAGTCGGGACCCCGGCCCTTAAATTCGCGAATCCCACTCGGCCCGGGCATTCACGTACTTCATGACGTGTGCACCGAAATAAGCGTGAGGGCTACATACGACACCCCCTATTCTGCGCCCTATGGGGCGCCAGGGAAGCGCCGGATCTTACGTCATCAAGTGGCATCCCGGTCAGCTAGGATAGGCTCAGCGCCTTAAGGCTTAAGTAGCTGGCTGCTGAACCAAGTGAGCACTGTGATAAATGTTGTGGCGCCGGCCGCTAATGCGTCGCTACTCCTCGCAACCACTGCTGGAAGTGCATGTCGTATTCGGAGAGCCCTCGCTGTCCTTCTCTGTATGTGAGTGTCTACAGAGTGCCTGCCCGCTGCAAAGCTGCCGCGCGCACTGCCCACTCAAGCGGTAGAATTCAAACAGCCCAGCGGTGTGCGCCCCGACAGCTCATTGACTAGCAGCTGCTGACACCGACACCTTGACTTGGGAGCTTGCTTTCTAAAAGCTAGATCTCTACTACTCAGCTGACAGCAAAGAGTGCTGCAAACGACGTGCAGCAGATGCGAGCGCACAGGGTTTCAGCTGGGTTGATGATCATGAGCTGCAAAGTGCCCCTTTTAGTCTACTGCTTTGTCCCGGTTACGGTCTTACTGCTGGACTGCTTGCACATAGCGGTGTCACGGCCAGGATTGAATGGGTCTTTGGGGCTACTATGCGGGCAGAAGGACAGCAGACCCTTTGCTGACGTAACCAAAGCTGCCGGCGACGTCGTTGGCGTAGCGCTAGAAACTAGACAGGGGAGTGCGGGAAATGCTCCCGAGCTCGCGGGTTACCCGGATGGGTTTGTTTACGTCTATGCCATGCCCAAGCGCTTCACGGATCACGTCTTCAACCGGACGGCCGCATACCACGACACTCAATACGACACCGACGTGCACCTCCACCGGTTCCTGTTAACCAGCCGGGTTAGGACGCTTAACCCCGAGGCCGCCAGCCTGTTCTACATACCCATGTACCTGGGTTACTACCTCAACACGCAGTGGTCGTTTGAAAAAGAGGACGGTGCGCCGTTTAAAGAGGGAGTGGCCCACGCCTCGCGCTTTGTGTCGGACGCTTTGGACCATGTTCGGACGAGCTGGCCGTTTTGGAACCGGACGAACGGGGCGGACCATGTGGCCGTGTTTGGGTACGACAACGGGCGGTGCGATGCATATGGGTTTCTGAAGGATGCAAGGAGGGAAGTGGGGCAGCTTATCAGCATTCAGGTGCGCGAGAGCTCGAGGCTCCAGACCTTGGGCTGATGGATTTAGCTAGATACTCTCATTATTTGAGCTGGTGCTTTTAGCTAGATCATCTCATCATTTGAGCTGTTGTTTTTAGCTAGATACTTTCAACATTCGAGCTGGATATGCCTGCAAAGGGGCCCGAATGTTTGTGGATTCTGAGGTCGTAGGCGCAACAATCTGGAGCTGGTTCAGGTAAATTGTAGAAAGCCTGCAAAGACAAACTCCCCTGGCGCTCCTAAACCGGAATGTTTTACTGGGGCCACATTGGTGGTGCCCAAGAGTCCGTGGACTCTGGACGTCAGTCAGGGTTGCAATTCTTTGTCGAGCTTGCTCCCCTACGGACGTCCCGATGATCGTTGGCCAAGGAGATCTAGGAAGCAGCGCACAGATGATGGCCAAACCTCACTGCATTTTGTCAGGAGGGCAGTAACATCGATTACTAGCAAAGACTTCCAGAGAGGCTGTACGTAAGGCATGAGATCCTGAGTGCAAGGTTCCGCAAAAGGTCCGATCCGCAATCTGTCAGCAACCAATCAAACTGGGACCTTTCCTGGCCACAGATGAAAGGATCTTTGCGAAGCAGACTTTGGGGATAGGACGTTTGAAACGACGACAGGAAACGTTTTCTTTTTCTTTGGCAGAGCGGCATCCTTAGTTTTCCTGGACACTGCAGTGCATGATGCTTCCAGTCAAAGCAGTACTGGGGACTCTCATATTTTAAATGGGGGCCCAATAGACATTCTAACTGGCTCATTCATAGAAGTTCCATAGTGTTTCGGGTCTGCTTTCCCCTGTTACTTTCCGAAGTTCCCTCGTGACTGTAGCGAACTTCCAAACTTACGATGCTTTTACCGACCTCTCGTAGCGAAATTGCTAGGATTTCGGCCACATGTGACTCTCCCCAAAGCACACGGAAGCAGGGAAATAGGGGCGAAATAGCATATATTCGAGACTCAGTCAAATCGCCCTGCACAAACCAGGCTTGTTTCTCGTGTGCAGGCGAATGGCGATCTTGTTGCCCGCTCTTGGGCACACCAATACGATCCTGACCGCGCCCCTGACGACTTCTTCTGTCACGCTCCCGGGCGGGACGTTGTGGTTCCCATGTGGTTAAAGCCGAACCGGGTAGGTTAACAAACCACCTCCTGGGTCGCGTTTAAACCAGAGGCAGAATTAGTGGGCAAGACCATCTTGGTCCGGAAAAGGCTGTACCTGTAAGATCACTACGATCTTCCGAAAATTAATCCCGCTTGTTAAGAGAAGGCTCGTCTGAAAACGGTACAAATGTCAGAAATGACGGTCTGATCCATTCGCGGTGTCCCTAACGGAAGATAGATTCGTTGCGAGAGCACGGGACGCTCTCAGTCAGAAGCTTCAAGGATCGTGGTCTCGACTCTGCTTATCGTTTAGGGAGACGGCGTGTCTCCAGCAACCAGCGTTTTCTGCTGTTGCTTAAACTGGGGATCGGCTTTCGACGCCTCAGAGGCAAAGGCAGGAACCGAGTCGGCCAGGCCGCCCGTAACGTTATCTTTTGGTGAAGTCCCTGCTGGTCCGAACTTTCCGAGCAGACCCAGCTTGTATTGTATCTAATCTCTGTAGTTATGCAAGTGCACAACCGCTCTTCAGCTTAGATTCCAGCCCATCGCTAGAAAACCCTTCATCTCCGACTCAGCCGAAGCGTCACGCGGTAAACTGCTTCGACTCTCACGAGCTCCTCTCTTGGTGTAGATTTGAGTAGCTCTCCCGTCCGCCATCCTGACATTTAGTACGTAAGACTCCCTGCGGATTTGCTTAGTTGGAGAGAAGGCATCCTTTCGGGGGTGAAAGGCTGGCCCGATTTCAGGTTATTCGTTTCGGCATCAGTCTCTTCCGTTTCCAGAGCGCTTGAACTTTTGGGGCCCATGGAACCGTCCTTTTGCTGCAGATTGTCCGCCCGCTCGAAAGCAACCGGAGCATCCCACTGCTGTACCGATTCTCGGCCCGAGACCAGCACGGTGCTCGGTACGGCCACGAAATCCGAAAGGAACTGCACGAGCAGTGGGTGAGGGATCCCTTTCCGGGGTCGGATTTTGCGGCGCGAACAGCGGAGGAGACGCTCGCCGACATGAGCCGGGCAGTGTTTTGCGTCACACCGCCCGGAAACACGCAGGTGAGCCGTCCGCATCGTGTTTCTTACACGAAGTTTTGGCCCTTAGTAACCATGGACGGTTATGAGCTGGTCAAGAAGTGGTTAGCTGTGTTTGTGTCACACCGCCCGGAGACACGCAGGTGAGCCGTCCGCATCATGTTTCTCACACGAAGATTTGGCCCTTGATTACGGATGGTTATGAGCCGGTCAAAACGTGGTTAGCTGTCCCATAAACGGACTCGGGCGGGTACCAGCCTTGCCGAGGTTAAAACAAGGGTAACCACCTCTTGTCCAAAGGACTGAGACTCAGGACTCGTACTCAGCCTGGTTGGCAGCCAAATTCGTTTGTGTCTGCGCTTTCTTTTTCGGAAACACGTAGCGAGGCTTCGCCGCTCAATGACTGGCCTCTTCGCATAGACAAACACTGAGGGCGTGCAAGCTTTTCTTCGACTAGCTTGTGTCGGTCCGCGGATTCCTTTCACTTAGCCACGTGCGCCTGTCCAAGAAGCTTGCGCTTTGGCATCTGAACATTGCACGCAGCTCGCTTCTGGAACCAGGGACCGAGGGATGTGTTGTGTTGTCGTTACTTGCGAAGAGATGGTCGAAGAGAAAGGAACCGTTTGTCCTTAGAAATCAGTTGGGACCCGACTGCTTCTCGCCTCTCCCTGTCACAGCAGACCCGAGGTCCACGTAATACTTCGACGGTGCGTATGGAGAGCGAATGCCGCTAATGCGGCCAATGCGGGTTGCTTAAAAAAAGATAGTTAACGATAATCAAGCTCGCCAGCCTGGGATCCCTTATGGCGTCACTTTCACGGTTTAGAGACGTGGGCGAGGGTGCGGAGCAGAAAGATTGTTGGGTTGGATTCAAAATCACTTTCGGAGCTTTATATTCTTGCCGCTGATGATTCCTGAGTTAAAGACCGTCCTGGTTACTTTTAACTGTCCGCAGGACACAGCCCGTTTCTGGAAGGCCATCTCAATGGGGTGCATTCCGGTGAGCTTCTTCCGCGCGTTCGACCGGCCCTTCGAGCGGAGCAGACTGCTGGACTACGACACGTTCACGGTCAACCTGGAGACGGATGACATCACGGGCCGCCTGAATGACGTCATCCGGGCGATCCTGGACGACCCCGCGAGGTAGGGCCAAAAGCAAGGGAAGCAAACTCCTGGTTCTAGATCCAGTCCGAGAGAAACGGCAGCGCACGGGGGCTTTTACCGTCTTGATTGTTTCAAACTTTCTTGGGAGACTTTTTTCCCGCCTTCAAAGCCAGCAAACCCAAAGCCGGTCTGACGCTTTTCAAACCGGGGTCGATCCACCCACCACTTGCATGAAGGTGGCCCTTGCCAGACCCTCGAATTTTTTTGCCTGCGCACGGCCTATTGTTTCTGAATTCTTGCCTGTTTTGCATCGCGCGAAAATTCGAACACTGGCAGCGTGATCGAGTTTGACGTGAATATCTCAACGAGTCTGGTACCGGTCGGAAAAGCCCAACGTATCTTGTAGGCCGATCCAGTTGCATTCCCTTCGTGCAGGTTGCGCACTCTCCAGGACGGTCTGGCGCGGGTGCAAGAACTTCTGCAGTACGATAAGACGACAGAAAGCGGGTCGTGCTACGGCCTGATTCTAAAGGAGCTCGCAATACGCGCCACGGGGCGCGGGGCTGCGTCGAAGAACATGTAAAGCAGGGAACCTATAATGCATATGTTGAGTACACGATCATAGTTTCGTATAGGATTAAGGAGCTCGGAATGCGCTCTGAAGCCAGTCACACTGAGAGTATTGCCTAGCTTCATTTCGGAGAGAATCTGGGCCTTTGTTAATGATTGGTAAACAGCTCGCGCGCGCAGCAGCCGGCCCTATTCCGGAGATGTAATCCATTCCAGGTATGCACTTGGTTGCCTCTAAAAATGGTTCCGTAAAGACTTCAAACCTGGAACGTATCCATAATTATGGGCCCCTTTCCGATTAAGTTAGATCTCTGGCCTACGATTACACACGAACGTTAAGTCGTATCTCATATCATTGTTCCCAAGGCGCCCATCATTTTTCAGAGAAAGGGCCATGTTGTAGATACAGAAATCTGGAAGATTCTGATTTCCGTCAATGCTTCACGAGACTAGCTTGATTTGACGCATGCTCCTATTCCGCCCGGCCTTGGCAAGCAATGCTCGCTTCAAGCGCTGCACCGTCTTTTGACGCCGCATCACCAATTTGAGCTATAAATGCGCATCGTGCAGAAAAGCATGCATACCATCTCACTTAACTGGCTTAGTTTTATCATGGCATGGAATGATGTGCCCATGAGAAGGCCCTACGCGCTTTGCTTGAACGTCTAGATGAGGTTTAGGATCAATGTGAGCGACTTTGGACCGTAAATGCATGCTGTTAGCCGCGTCTTTGGTCCAAACGCAGTGACTACATGTTTCCCTAGCTGACGGCTGTTGTTACAGGGCCTAAATTTCACGACTTATGGTGCTCGAGCATTTACAAAATGAATTGAATGCATCGTAACATGCCCACCGCTTACATGTTCGGCATAGACTGTTGTCGGTTACGCAGCCTAAAACAGCTGAGAACGGGCCGCCTGCAAAACTCGAAAGGCTGTGGATTTGAGTAGACGCACGGAATCCGAGTTCCAAAATGGCTTGTCAATGTCAGCTGATCCTTACAAGGGAGAAACTCCCTTAGACAACTGATTCTTAACTACAAGGGACAAAGTCTACTAGAAACCACTCAGATTACACAACGGTCGTACTAGATTGGATACTTTGTTTTCACAGCAACCGAGCCCACTTCCAAAAGGCGTCCGGGTTATGCAGCTTGTCCCAGTAGAACCTCCAGCCAGGCCGTTGCCACGTTTCGAAATCCAGCACCGCAAAAAGTTCCCGGGCTCCTGAACCAGGCACTTTTGACAGTCTATTCTTCCCCTCTGCGCGCCCGGGACGGCACAACCGGGGCCGGCAAACCGTGCCAACCAAGCTAAACCACTCGAAGGGCCACCAAGGATTCGAGATCCAGTTGGTCTTAGCTTTCTGCGCTACAAAGCTTCCGTAACGAAGCATTCCTGGTGTAGCGAATGAGCCATTCCTGGAAATGATTGGCTCGCCGAAAGCGTAAAACTCGACGCTTACCAGATCAGGTCTAAGCAGTTCTTGGTCAAATTTGCCAGCGGCGTTTTTCAGGTTCTCCCGCCTGAGCTCAGCTTTGACCTTTTCGCGAGATACTAAAGGCCGAAGAAGAATGCCCGTAACTGGTCCTAACCCGTTTTCTTTAACCCACGCGTCATGCTTACCCAATTTCAAGCACGCCTGCTTCTTCTGCGTATCATAGACACCGAAGGCGACAGAATTTCCGCGTAGTCTGACCAGGATCAATACGTAACTGTTCTCTGCTGACTGCAAGCTGCACCTGGGGCAATCGGTAAAGGTGTTATCTGGCCCTTGCGTTTGTTCATGAAGATTCTTTTCGGAACTTTCACAGCCCCTCGTTTCCCATCGCGCTGCCAACAGACGCTTATATCCCCCCATGACATTTATCGTCGCGTCCAAAAAAAGTCTCTCTCTTTTGTAGAAGTTTCCGTTTTGAAATTCCGCAACCATTTCTAGCTTCGCTCCAAGAGGCGCGTTAAACTGTTGTTTCCAGACCCCCGGAATCTCCTCTGCCGCTGTGTAAAGAGCCTTGCAGACCCAAGTGGACCGCAGAAAGGCCAGGGTGTCCTGACTAGCAAGCTTGTTCAGGATGAGCAAGAGGATCTCGTGAGGGAGTTCCTGAAAGCCTGGCGCCCGGGCCATGATAGGTTCTTTACCAATTTACCTACATGATGAAGATTCAGGACCGTACAATTTCGGCTTTGTTTAGCGGCTGAGTCGAGCAGCACAACTTCACAAGCCCGCGTGTATGTCAGTGCGCCGGCGCGCGGCCGCGCCTCATAATCAAACGGCGGCGACGCTGTTCCTGGATCTAAAACCCTGACTTCAGCGCGTCGGTTCGCGCGCGACCTCTTAGCTTTGAGAGCGAAGCGCTGGGACGCGCGCGCGTCTTCGCACCGCTCGCCCAATGGCCGCAGTTGATCGACCTCTTCTATCATTTACGTTACGAAGCGATCTGGCTTCTCCGCCACGCACTGACCTCTTTGCTTTCCTATCAGGTTTGCGGACCGCCCACAGTAGCTGCACCTTCGGCCAACCTATTGTCAATTATGTCAGATGCCCGCGCCCGGTCTGAGGCTGAGGCCGCTGCTGAGGCTTCCACAGGCAAAACTGCGCGCGCGCGTGCGGCGCTGGCGCCCGGGCGCGGCGCCGGCGCCCGGACTAGCCGCCACTTAGTAATTGCGTTTGAAGGGCGGTTACCGCGCGGCTCATTTTCCAAAGGATCTGAAAGGACCAGACGGGCCAGATGACGCAAGCGCGTGCGCTGCAAGCTCCTCACATCCCGGAGTCTCCGCTTCAGCGACAGCTGCGCGCGCGCGTCCGAGCGGAACCCTCGAAAGCGGCGGCCGCCGAGGATGGGGATCCGTCGCGCACGCAGAGGAAACGTAAAGTAAACGAGAAGAGAAATGCCTCCTGGACGAGATAAAACCGCCGAACGAAGGTATTCCTCGTAATCATGCTGGCAACCCGTGTTTTGATTATACCAACCACAGTCTAGTTACAGAGTTCGGAATGGTCGGAAGCGGAACTCCCGGTCACCGAGGGCAGGGGTGGAACTCAAAGGCAAGGACTTGCAGAGATCAATGCGCATCTGAAAGGAAAGGAATGGAAAGAAACGTAGAAAAACGGAGGAAGCGGAAGAGAGGCACCGAATCAATGCCGGCTCAGCGAGCGCCGTCTCGGACAATTTGAAACAGCCTGGACGGGGTCGCATTAAAACCTGTTGCCCGCAGGAACAAACAGCTCTCTTGAAAGTCAAAATTCAAAACAAAGTACTTCAAGCAGAGCACAGCAGAACGGAGGCGGATCTGCGCCCACAAAGCTGTGCCCAACTCCAAAGAATGTTTTGCAGCTGTCTGGAATGAAATTCCGATTCCCGGATTTCCAGGCCTTTTCCTTCTTCGGCGCTTCCTGCAGAGCAGATCAATAGATTAATTAGTCTTACATTCTCTTCTGCTTCACTTTGCGCATATGTGATTCTCATGCTTTCTTGCGTTAATCGTGGGAGGAATCGTTAGAGGAGGCGGTGCACTGCAACAATTCAACGGATGACCCTTGACGCCGCGACACGATCTTTGCGTTCTGCTGTCCGCACAATGAAAAAGGAACAGAATGTCCCATTCTCAATTCGATTGCAAATCCTCGGGGTCCGTTCGAACTCAGAACAGATCATGCATTCAGTCACCACTGCACTGATACGTGGCTCGCACAATAAAAATTCACACCCTGCGGCTCTTTAGTGGAACTTCAATAACAAGATGTCTGAACTTGAAGCGTTCTTAATTAATGAAACCAATGGACGCAACGTCTGCTCCGTGTTGTTTCATTCCTGATCCGCCGCTCTATGCCTATGGTGTCACGAGGCTTTGAACGCAGTCACGCGTACAAATCCGTAGTTCAACTCGCATCCTGGGGTCCTCACCGTTCATTATATTTTGCATCAAAATCGCTGAAGTTTATCGGTACTTGAGCGACGTCATAGTGCAATATTGCTTCATGCAATCCGAGTGAGGTAATGGGTGGGAGTCTGCTACCGTTTCAGTGTCATCTTATTCAGAACGCGCCAATGATCTAACATACTTCTGTATGTTCTACACTTCCAGTTCCAAGCCTGGTTGGCAAATAGATTAGACTGGAAACTAGTAATGCACCGCTTTACCTCAATATCTGACAGGAAAGTCTTTGAAACAACGAAACAGACTCCGGGGGCAATTGCAACCCAGTTGACAGTATTAGTCGAGTCCAAATGTAACCGGATTCTGGGTATATTTAAGTAGATATGCATCTCGATCGCCCTGCTACTGTGAAAGAGCTTTCTAGATTGGTTTCGAAATGATCAGTCTAGCTGCTGATGGTTCCTGTCGATATGAGTCCTGTCGATATGATTCCTGTCCAAATCAGTAGCTCAGTCCTCTTCCAAACCCATCAAATCTCCCGCCATGAAGAATGCCCACTCCGATCTGCCCGGAGTTTCAAAATCCAAGACAGCCCTAGAGTCTTCACGAGCATTTGAGAAAACATCGTCGGAACTGCTCTCGTTGAAGATGACATTGCCAATCTGAGAGACAATGAGCCCCCACGGATGACTGCTAACCTCTGCTCTATGTATGGAGAATCTTCCATACCGAAGCGCATTTTCACCTACTTCAGAACCGCCTTCGTTACCGCTCTTTTTTGTGAGAGCGTACACTTCAGTGCAAAGAATGGTGCCCGCGAAAAGGTAGTGATGTGACGGGCTGACGTCATGACCTGCCCTCCAGGCCTCCCGCTCAATTGCCGCTCTCATTTCGGCGATTGGAATCAGCGACTGAAGATCGATGCACACCAGATTACTTGGGAGTTTCGCGTCGCTATGCCAAAAGAACTGTCCGTCGACTTTGAAATGTTCTTTGTCGGTACAAGGAGCATAAGTCCCGAAAGCCACAGGGCTTTCATGAAACCTGACCAGGATAAGAACAGTTTCTATCACCCCCTTCTGAGAAGGCTTTTCGGAACGAGAGCAGACGCCGGAATCAGGGGCTGTCGAACGAG